AATCAGTTTTCAAACTGAAAAAAAAAGAAACCTTTGTGAAACTAGTAGGGGTTTAGTATATTTCCTTGGGCCATCTGTGGACTCCTGTGATGTGTTCTGAACAGTAAATTACATTCATATTGACACTGATGCACCTTCATGAAGCATCTTACATTATATTAATGGCACTGAAACTTACTGCAAGTGTAATTCTCTTTTCTACACTAACTCATGTTAAATATACTAAAAGTTTTACCAAAAAAAGTTTTGAATATAAATCTTTTCAGCAGTTAGAGCCTTTCTTTAGTACAAATTTTAAGAAGTACAATTATTAGAAACAAGAAAGAACATCTTTAAAGCTCCCTCCATCAGACTGTTTACCAGAGAGGGTGTTCTCACCGACACCCAACCAAAAGGGGTAAGGAGCCTAGATGGAGGCCCATCAGCATCTTATGTGTCTACTTACTCCCCAAGGGAAGAGAGAGCTTTATGATACACTGAAGCCACACTTTCATACCCTAAAATACACAAAAAGGAAGCAAACAAATGACAGGAAGAAAATGGTCATGTACCAGCAGTGGTTATCCCCATGTGGTCCAATTGTGGGGAATTTTTTTCCCAAAGATTATGTCTTTCTTTCCACTATAGACACAATAAATAAATACCAAATGCAAGTATAAGAGTCTCTGTTTTCCTAAGTTTTTTGAAGGACATTATTTCTTTACAGTGGGTATCTGAAAAATCCAACATTTCTTTGACATAAATGCCATCCTGATAAAGTCAAAATTCTGGCAGTCACTTGTTTGAAGAAAAAGCAACCATCCAAACCTACCACACGGAAGAAAGCACTTCCTGTCAACCTTGTCAGTGGCTTCTCTCCCAAGGAAAACTACCCTAACAGAACAAGGGTCCCAACAACATGCAGCGAAACAAACAGCCCAGGCCTCTCCATGCTTGGGATCAGTCCCACCAGACCAGTGAGAGGCACCGTGGGGCGAGCAGCCTGGCCAGGCAGGGAGCATGACAATACCTGGTCCAGAGGCGCAGGTCTGTGGAGCAGGATCTTGGCGGTGAGGGAGGGCACGAGCTGGGTGCTTACAATGCTGCAGGCCAGACACAGGACAAGAACACAGTGAAAAGAAACGCATGGAGCCCTCTATACTTCCAATGTTCTACGCTGGGACGGATGGTGGGAGTTTTCACTGATTAAAGCTCCTATGAAGGACATGCTGGCAGTTCCTACCAACGGTGTTAAAATGCCTCATAAGCCCTCTATACAGGCTTGCACCAAGAGATATGCATAAGAATATTCACTACAGGGAAAATGGGACACAAGCAGATGACTAAAGATTCATTAAATAAACCATGGCACAGCCATATCGCCAGACCACGTGTGGCTTTTCCAAGAGCAGATGGACCTGTACGGCCTGGTAAGGAAATCTCTGCAGACACACAGTGTCAGCACATGCACAGGGTCAGAGAATGTGCAGGGTCAGTACGTGAGCCTGTGTACGGGTGGAAAGTGCACAGAAAGAGCCCAGATACTGTTCAGATGCCGGCTGTGGGGGTGGGGTGAGAGAAGACAGGAAAAGAACTTTTCAATGTGTCCTGTGTATTTCTCTATTTTTTTTTTTTTTACAATGAGCAAGTATCAAAGTACTAGCCATGTAATTTAAAAATATATAGGAAATGTAAAATAAAGGGAAGATGCTATCTTTGAAAGCTGTGTTCTGGTGAGCTTGGCAGCTGTGTAAGTGCCATCCTGCTAAGCAAGGAGGAAGGGGACAAGGAGATGAGGTGCATGGGGCACTGTACTCTGTGCTTTCACATCCGTGGAGTCACTGCATCAGCCACACAGGGTCTCTTTCCCGGAGAGCAGCCTGTCCAAGGCTAGAGGGCTGGAGGATGAGAAGCACAGACCCAAGGCCCAGAGGCCCGGGAGCACTGCCCTTGGGCACCTCCCCAGAAGCACCTGGAGTGCTCCTCAGCTGCACAGTCACCCAGTCAACAGCCCTCTGGGCTCTGCCCACAGCACAAGGACCAAGTCTCAGCAATGCATGGAGTGCCTCTTACGTGCTTAGCCTCCCAGGGAGGCCCTCCTGTGGGCAAAGAGGCCTCTAAGCTCGCAAAGGCCTGTCAGGATGCAGACCTGAGCACTGGGCTGGAAGGGGGAGGAGCATGTGATACTGCCTTACAAGCTGAGCTGCAGCCAGACACTGGGCGCCCCAGGCACAGATGAAGGTCACTGCGGGCTTCAGGTCCCTCTGCTTACTCTGCTGGTTGCTACCCAGACTGGAGCTCTACACTGACATTCTGTAAGCTGCATGTGTAGAGAAGCCCCCCCCCCCCCCCACTGAGGACACAGACCCCTCCCATAGGTCCACCTTTTCTAAACACAATCCTCTCCAATCCCCAGTTGTGCTCAAACACAGGAACATACCTCAAGTCAAATCTAAACAGTGTGATACAGTACAGGGTACCTCAGGGAACAATACAGTTTGCAAACAAGCACTTGGCAAAGTTCTGTTTCTGTTTGTGAACGCTCCAGTGGGTGCTGAGCACCACTGTGGTCATCTTTTCCAAAGTTGTGGAACAAATTAAATTCATGAACCAAGGTACCACTGTATTTGCCAAACAAGCAGACGTGGAACTGGCCGGGGACAGAGCTCCTTGCCGATGACCTGGAGGTGGCCAGGTGATCAGTTCCGCAGCAGGAGAGTATGGCAGAGGACAGAGACAGGGCGGTACTCACAGTCCTTTATAGAGGATGCAGCCAGCTAGAATGTGTGGCACGCGCTGGCAGGTCTGCAGGATGAGGGCTGCCTTCAGCAACAGTAGGGGCTCCACCTGCGCAGGTCAAGACAGGCAGCCACCATTAGCATACGCACAACCAGCAAAGGACACGGGGCAGGGGCTTTGGGAAACAGACAGGCAGGTTATGACTCAAAGCCTGGAGAAAGGAGAAGGCGCCCCACAGTCAGACCCCTGTCACGCCTTGGGCCTGATCTGCACTCAGTACGTATGACTGCTGATCCCAATCAAATGGCAAATTCCAGGCACAGGAGGCCTCTCCAGAAGCTGCAAGGTGCAGTGAATGTACACATAGCTACTGCTGGAGACAAAGCAGACTGTCTGAGAGACCCTGACTATCCATGCTGCGATGAATTGGCAGGAAGTCCTGGTACCCGGTGAAATGCACCCGCTCCGCAGAGCAGCCCCAAGGGAGACACACTGGTATCTGACCAGGTGCCATCACTCAGCCCTGTCACATAAAGGAGAGCACCACAGCTTGGTTCCAGACTCCCTGGGAGGAGGCAGTTGCTTAGAAGTTCTTAAAATTACAAGAAAAGCATCTGAACCTAGGCCAAAGTGTCCAGCAATACTGCCCGCTTCCTCATGTCTCCACCTGTCTTCCTGGCAGTGAGCCCCTGCAGGTACCCACAAGCTGCCAGGACTCAGCATGGATGAACTAAGTCCTGGGGCAGCTGCCACATGAAGAGCTTGCTTATCCTGAACTGGCCTTATGACAGTCCAGTGCCAGCCACACCCTGCATGACTCGGGGCCAACTGCATGAAGGCCCCCCTGCAGGAGCAGGGAAAACCCTTCCCTGTCTCATGGATGCCTGCTCTGTGAAGGCTGCCACCTGGCACCACACCCCCGTCGGAGAGGCACATTTGCTCCTGTTGTGAGATACAGGAGGCTCATCTGAGATGCTCAGGGCTCAAACAGCTCATTCTTCAGGGAACAGCGGAGGTGGCCAGGCCAGCCATGCAAGCAGCTTGATTTCACTGAGTGCCAATGGCAGAAAGAATGGCTCAAAGTGGTGACCCTTTCCCAACCTATGTGTCTATCCCCTCCTTACCCTTGTCTGCCTGTCTCCCAGTCTGTCTCTGTCACTGTCTCTCTCTGTCTGTCTGTTTCTCTCTCCCCCCTCTCTCTCTACAGCAAGCTTGTTCTATAATGTTAGTGTCAGACATTTCTGAGGTTAAGAAGAATTAAAGCAGATGACGTTATTGATGCTGAGAGTGGAGAGGACCAGGCTCCTGAGTTCAACACTGCTGAGGCGACAGCAAAACTGTAACTGCTGATACTAAGTACACTAAGTCCCTGACTTACAAACACTCCAGTTGCAAATTTTCACAGACAGAAATAGATCTCAACATTACAAACATCCACAGATGCAAACAAATCACAGAAAGCAGTTCACACCTCGGCATGACATTGTCACAGTTGTGCTGCTGTGTGCTTACTGTATGTGCTTAGTCAAAGCCTAGGATGTTTATGTGTTTGTTTTATGCTATACATTGTATAGTTGTGCCAAGGCTATATAAGACTCACTCTGTTGGACTTTCAAACAAATCTGACTTAGGAATACTCTTCCAGAATGGAACTGATTCTCAAGTCAAGCTGGGGACTTACTGTGCCTACTTGAGGTGCAGTCTCACTGTACCATCAAAGCAGTCCTGGGAGGCTGGTATCACAGTACCAGTTTACAGATGAGGGAAGGGAGGCTCTCTGCAGAGGCCCATCTCAACCCTGCTCAAAGAGCTGGACAGCCACCATGGGGAAGCCCAGACTAGGGCTCACCACCTGCCTGCCTAGGAAACAACGTGCTCCAGGCACTTTTCTAGATGTAGCTCATTTCAGAATTTTTATTTATTTATTTGTTTGTTTTTATGTATTTGGTACAGGATCTCACTATGCAGTTCAGACTTGTAGTGATCTTCCTGTTTTCAGCCTCCCTGGTGCTGGGATTACAGACATGCACCACCACGCCTGGTCTTGGTGGTCGGCTCAGGGCACCCACAGTTGAGGCCAGCATGGTATGTGGTGCTGCAGATTGAGCCTAAGCAAGCGCTTAGTCCGCAGACCTATCTTACCAGCTGTCAGAAATGTTTTTTTAAAAACTGTCCTGAGGTTCTGTTCTTACGCATGAAGTGAAAAAGGAGAACAAAAAGGTTACTTTGGTTCGATCCAGGTTCCACAGTGAATTGAATATCTTATGCAGATCACTGGTGTTTTTCAGAACTTGCTCAATGAAAGTGTCCCACTGCAAACTCAGCTCCTCCTGAGAATGGGTCTAAAACAGAAACAGCCTGAGGTCAGTACCTGACACCTGTACAGACAGACTTTTCAACAGGGACTGCTGCAGCTGTGCTAAAGGCCATTCCACAGAGGAAACTGGCTGCAGGGTGGCTTATTCTAACTCCCTGCACACACACGGCCCCTTCTCCTACCTGAACATTTGCCCCGCCACAGAACCCAGGGCACTTGCTCATCCTAACTATCCCGGCGGGGGATGGCGGAGAGGGCGGGGAGACACACTTGGAAACACAGACATTTTAGAGGGGCTCCAAGGGCCCTCGACCTGGTCGCTGGACGCCAAGTGTGCATATAAAGAAGTGCTGCATTCTAGCCATCGTGGTTTTGATAACAAGGCCCAACATGATTCCCCAAGCCACACTTATACCTTGTAAGCCAGAGAAACAGGACCATTGTAGAAATTAAAGAATCCAATGAGCTGATCTAGGAACCGCTTGCAGCTGATATCAGGGAGCTCCACAGCACAGCCCAGCACCTGAGAAGAAGAATCCAGGAGATTGGGCACTTTCCTGTTCTTTAAGGCCAAGCCCAGAACGCTGTCATCTGCAGTTCTCCATCACCCATCAAGAATGACTTTTTACCACCCAAAGCCCCCATGTACCACTGCCACTAAGCTGCTCTCCAAAGAGAACAAGTACTTTCTGTGTCTGTTCATTGTGCCCAGTTCAAACTGCACTCCTTTCTGTTCATTCGCCCACAGTTTGCACAAACCTTTCAGGGTCCACTCTGGATTCTAGCACCTTTACCATGCCTGTTCTGTTATTCCAGCCAAAGTGGACCTCTTTTCTGATCCAAGTATTGTGAGGACTGGTGCTGGCCACTGTATTTTTGACCTGGTCTTCAACGCAAGCCCGACACAGATTCAAACTGACCCATGGTCACCTTGTCTCTCCAGTGGGAAGAAGAGTTTGGAGGGCAGGGCTGACTGTGTCATCACAGCCCTAACCCCTACAGGGCTACATGCAGGGCTGACACACCCTGGATGAGTGGAGGAGAGATTTGGTCATCTGTTTAAAGAGCCTGAACACAGCTCACAGTGTTTGACACAGTTGAGTCTACCTCTAGGAATCTGTCCTAATGGAATGCAATCAGGAATTAACAAACTTTGACAGGAAACAAATAAATGAAAATTCCCTTAAATGTTAACTATGGGAGGGCAATGTTTTCTTCCCTAGAGTGTCCCATAAGTTTAACAGTCTGGCACACAAGAAATGCTCATTTTCTCCCCAGTGGTCCATAAACAGAAAGCAATTCCAGTCATAATCCCATCAGCTTTTCTTTAGAAACTTATAAAGTGGCTTAACAATGGAAACACAAATGATCTAAAAGATACAAAACAACCTTTAAAAAGAATAGGGTTAGGACATTTATACCATCTGATTTTAAGACTTACAATAAGGCGACTGAAATCAAGACAAAGTGGTACTTGCTAAAATCCTCAAAAGTATATCCGTGAAAGAATACAGGGCCTAGAAATAGATCCGCACTTATTTGGTCATCTAATCTATGACATAAGAGCCAAGAAATTCAATAGGGACAGTAAAGTTTTTTCAAAAATAGTGCTAGAATAACTGGCACCCAAACAGAAATAAATGACCCTTGTCTTCTACTCACAGCTATATGAATTGCTAACCCAAGCTGGATCTTAGACCTAAATTTAAAAACAAAAATTACGCCAGGTGTGGTGGCTCCAGTCTGTTATCCCAGAACTTGGGAGGCAGGAGGATCGTGAGTTAGCCCTGTCTCAAAACAAAAACAACAAACAACAACAAAACTATAAAACTCTTACCAAGAAAAGAGGCCAAAGTGGTAAGCAGTTTCTTAGGATACAAAAAGCAGTGACCTTAAAATTAAAAACTAGGACTGGCGAGATAGCTCAGCAGACTAAGCGCCTGCTTTGGCAAGCACAGGGCCCAGCATTCCAACCCCAGTCCTGCACACTGCGCTGCCCCTACCCCTCGGGCACACTGAGCCAGCCACCAAGTACGGGCATGGTCACGTGCACCTGCAATCCCAGTGCTAGGGAGGCTAAAATAGGAGGATCACTACAGGTCTGAGCAGCACAGTGAGACTCTGTGCCAAATACATAAAATGAAAAAACAAAGAAAAACTTCTACTCATCAAACAAAATTAATAGGCATGACACAAACTGGCAGAAAATATTTTTAAATTTTAAAATTTGTATCTGACAAAGAAATAGCCTCAGACATCTGAAGAACTACAAATCAGTAAAAAAAGAAAACGCAGCTTAAATAAAGAACAAGGACAGCTGGATAGGATGGTGCACACCTGCAATCCCAGCTCTTCAGGAGGCAGAGGCAAGAAGATCAAAACTTCCAGGCCTGGGCCGGGGAGATGGCTCAGTGGAATAAGCGCTTCCCTGGCAAGCGCAAGGGCATGAGTTCAATCCTCGCTTCCGCCAAACAAAAAAAAAAAAAAAAAAAAAAAAAACCTTCCAGGCCAACCCAGGCAACTTAAGACTTTGTCTCAAAATAAAAAAAGCCAGAGATGTAGATCAGCTCAAAGCCCCTGAATTCAATTCCCAGTACCACAACATAAAGAAGAAAAAGGTGAGAGGCAAACACTTTGACACACTTCACGATGTCAGACATATACATGGCCCCGGAGCACATGAAAGCACCTCCACATGGTGGTTGTGGGGGAAATGCAGACAAAACCACAGTAAGATATCACCACAAGTCCAGCAGAAGAGCTAAAAATTAAACACTGACAACGTCGACGTGAAAGGGAAGTAAGTGGATTTCTCTGTGACGGTTATTGGTGAGACGGCACAACATAACTGGCAGATGCTTGTGGCACCTTCTTGTAAAATTCAACATATACCAGCCCTATGATCAGCAGTTTGAAATAACATGTCCACAAAAAGACATCCACAAGAATGTTCCTAGGAACCTTACTCTCAGTTTCCCAAAGCTGGCAATGTTTCTACCAATCGAAAGGAAAATGAGCAGATGTAATACAGTCAGATAATTGAATACCATTTCATAGTAAAATGGAGTAAATACTGACTCATGTCATCTCACAAACATTAAGTGGCAGACAAGGCATTTAAAATAAATGGTACACTAAGTATTGACACGATATTCTAGAACAGGCAAAACTAATCAACAGTGGAAAAATTCAAAGCAATGGTTGCATGGAGTTGGAATGGGCAGAATTAACTGGAATGGGGCATGAAGAAGCCCTCTGGGGTGATGATAATTTCGCATAGGTTTCCAGGGATTCGTGCAGTGTAGACAATATTTGACCAACTATATCTAATAGTTCACTCAGGATCTGGGTGTTTCATCAAATGTAAATTTCACTTCAGGAACAAAGGAACAAGGCTGGGGACATAGCTCAGTGGCACAGCACCAGCCTGGCAAGTGTGAGGTCCTCAGTTCGAGTTCTGGTACACTACCCCCCTGCCAAAAAAAAAAAAAAAAAAGGAACCACAGATAGTGAATGTTAACTACATTTACAGTAAAAGATTTGTGGATGGGTAATACACTAATGTATGCAACTTTCTTTGAAAAGTATTTTTTAAAAATCTGGATTGGTGGAAGGATAAAAGGATGAACACATATGTACAAAAGCAATTACAATAAAATGTTATTTGTAAAAAACGGCATGAGTTTTCACTGTGAAATTCTTGCAACTGTTTAGTATGTCAGAGACCTTGCATAATCACATGTTGAAAACAACAGCCACAAAGTGAATATGCCACCCCTCACTTCCGCATTCCTTTACCTCCAAAGCCTTAAAGGACAGGCAAGGGAAAATGTGCTTTAAATTAAATGGCTATAAAATGATTTTTAAAATTTGTTTACCTTTAATGTAGTCTTTAAAGCCTAACCCATACGTATATGAATGTCAGTTTTTTTGTATCGCTTTAAGTGTAGACAGCAAAGAATATTACAGCAAAGATGGAAATACAAATTCAATTTGCAACACAAACCAAATGGAATTTCCATAGCTTGGCCTAAGTCAAAGGAAAGGAGAAAGTAGCTGTGTGCAAAGCAGGATGTGTTAGGATGTCTCAGAGACAGCTGGGGACTCAGCTCAGGGGCAGAGCATGTGCTCATCACGTGCAGAGCCCAGAGAATGGCTCAGCTCTCTGCACAAAGGAAAACTAGGAATGTCAGGGACAGCACTCGCTTATGATGGACATCTCAGAGAGCGACACCAGATGCAAGGATGATGACGGAACACGGCGCGCAGGGCAGAACCAACTCGAGGCTCAAGAGCTACAGGTGGCCTAACATGCCAGCACTGACCAGGCCTGTCTGAACTTACCCAAAGATAATCTTCTTCAACCTTTATGGCAAACTTCAGCTTCCGCAGGCGAATGAGAGTGGGAGGAGAGCCGGAAATGTCAGAGATGCAGCGGACAACACCGGCAATCTGCCCACAGAGCAGCTCCTGCTGGTCGAGGACAGTCTGTAAGAAAGGAACAGATTCCAGATAAGAGGCTACAACTCTTGCACTCTTGAGTTATTGAGAAACTAAAGCCCAAAGACCAAATGAAGTCTGTGACCTATTTTTATGTAGCCCATAAGCCAAGAACTGCTTATATAAGAGTTATAGGAACAGGAAATAACATATGACAAAGCCCATGTTAGGCAAAGCTCCATATTTGCCTCATAAGGCCCTTCCCAAGTCTGTCAAGCCTGCCAACGTGGCTGTACTGTCAGAGATGCCCCAGGATGCACTCGGAACAACAGCACAGAGCTCTGCACTCCGGTGATTACAGGCACACACTTGAGTAGACACATGGTCCTTCTACTCCCACGCTAATCTCCTGCACAGAGCAGCCTGGGTTAATCCTGGCCATCCAAGTCACAGCATAATCACATGAGTGGACAGAAGCTTTCCTTATCTATCTTAGCCTTAATTGAACTGCCAGACAGCCAGACAAGACGTGGTGTCACAGAAAATGTATCTACCATCTCTGAAGAATTTCTGCCTGACAGAACTGAACTTCAAGGCTGGTCAAATAGCTCGGCGGATTAAAGTGCCTGCCTAGACAGATGCAGGGGTCAGGAGTTTGATCCCCAGGCCTGCTGTGCTGGCCCCGCCCCCGGGGCATGTCGAGACAGCAATTGAGACTTGGGAGGCTGTAAACAGGAGGATCACTATGAGTCTAATCTACACAGTGAGACCTTGTAGACCCTGTCCTAAACACACACACACACACACACACACACACACATAAAAAAAAGAACTGAACTTCAATCTAATCAAGGCTCTAGAGCTTATTACTATTTTAAAGAAAATACAACAGACAGAAGGTAGCAAATGTCATCAACACTGAGAAACTAATCAGCCATACCCAGTCTGGGAGGTCTTAATGTTTTACCACACAGTTGGCCAGGTTTCTTCAATAACTCAATGGCATGAGTGGAACAGAGAAAGGGGGCCTGGAAAAGATGTATTATAAAAGGCCTGAAAGTACAAAATGACCAGAGACTATGTGGATGCTTTTTGGATGAATTACGAAACACAGAGAGAAAAAGAGAGCGAGAGTGAAGAGACAGAGAGACTAAATTGATAAAAGGGTGAAATCTGAATGTAATCTGCGTAGCAAGATATTAATGAACTACTACAATTATTAGATTTTGTTAGGTGTAAAAATGTCTAATGTCTGAAGACAACAATATGCAATGTAGTAATTACTATAAATGTCCTACTAACCTGTTTTGAAATTGGATCATCGCTATTTTATCTTTTTTATCATTAAAATGAATAAAAATTATTTTAAAAAATGTCTAATGTCCTTTTCGCATAGAGACATCACTTGGTAGTGGTGAGATGACACAATGTCTTGAATTTCCTTCCAATGTCTCAAGTAAGTAAATATAATAAGATGCAAAAGGTTAGGTCACATAAAACTGGTTAAGTGTTGGTAACAGTCAGCACTACAGATGGTATATGAGATTCATGAGTCTCTTCTCTCTTCTTATGTGTTTCAGTAAAAGCTTTCTGAAAACAAGTGGATCCAAAAACTGGGGGTAGAGAAGACAAGACAGAGAAATCATGACAGTAGCAGAGAACTGGGGAAGAAGGAAGGCCTGAGCTACCTGGGGATCTTAAGAGAAGAACACAAAGAAAGAGTCCCTCTTAGAGCAAGACGGCAGATGTGTGAAGCGCCGGGACTGGCCAAAGAAAGTTGTCCTGAGCTAAATCCTATAAAAACTCACCACATGGAGGCAGCAGGGTCTGTGCTGCATAAGAAAATGTCATGTGGCTTACCTGGGAAGGATAAAAATAACAAATGCCAGCTCTTGTTGGATCTCCTTCTTCCTTCACCTTGGAGCCATCATAAAGGAAAAAATAATTCCACCTGACAAGAGAAAAAAATGGAGCCATGTTTCTCTCACCCAGTGACAATGGCATGTTAAAATGCAGCTTCCCACTTCCTAGCCCAAGGAGGGCCAGTTACTCAGTGCGGCCTTCTGCGGGGACCAAGAGAGAAGGAACCCAGCAGCTGCAACTAGATAAAACCACTCCTCAAGCGCAAGAGAGGCCAACTAAAAATACGCCTCTATCCAGCTGTCAGACCATCTGTCCCAAAAGACACAAGTACTGGAGGAAAACTGGCCCACCCACAGTGACAGCTCCTATTTGAAACACTGAGCCTTAACTACATAACCACGCAGCCTGGTGCCCTGTCCTCTAAGGCTATGATAACAAGACAGGTTAGGGACGTCTTAGCTGCACGTCTCACAGCTGCTGAGCACAGTGATCTCCAGAAATAGTCCTCTACCAGGAATTTACCTAACAGATGTTCACACAGGGGCTGCCGTGTGCAGAATGCAATCTCAACATAGGGCAGGGAGTCTACATGAAAAGCCAGGACCTTCGGAAGTTTACAGAGAAAATAGCAGACTTGTCAGTTCAAACTTTTATTAGGCTTTAAGCATCACTCAATATGCTTCAACTCTCTCCTGACTATCTCAGCCCAGAAGAATCTGAGTTTCCATAACCCCCTCTTACCTGAACACTCTTACAGCCTGTTCTACAGCAGAATTATGCGATATTCTTCTCTTCTGTATCTGATTTTTTTTAAATTTTTATTTATTTATGTGTGTTGTGTGTGTGTGTGTGTGTGTGTGGCCAGCTCAGCCAACCAGGGGGCGGGGCTGGCTGGCATGTGGTGCTGGGGGATTGAACCACGGTCCCTGCGCTTTTTGCTAAGCTTGTTCCAAGGAGATGCTCTAGACCACTGAGCCATCTCACCAGCTCCGATTACCTCTTGAGACCACGCAGTGAATTTCTCAAAAGCTGGATCTCGGTTTTATTTCCCAGTCTCCAAAAGCACATTCATGAGGTGTAGCATATGATGGAGATGATGTCCCCTGCACTCCTCTCACAGGGACCTCTGCCCTGCCCTGGGCCTCCCAGCTCTCTCTGCTCATGAAACCACCGTCTATCTCTGGGATGAGATAAAGATCCCAGGTCAAAAAGCCTCGACAGGAAGGGTACTGTGGGGCACAGCTGTAGTCCTAGCCACTCTTAAAGCTGAAGTAGGAGCATTACAAGTCCCGGGGAGATGGCTCAGTGGAATAAACACATTCCTGGCAAGTGCAAGGGCCTGAAGGGCCTGAGTTCAATCCCTGGTTCTGAAAAAAAAAAAAAAAAAGCTAAACAAGTCCTGGGCCAGCTTGGGCAACTTAGCGAGAGCCAGCCTCAAAATGAACTACAGGGATCCAGCTCAGTGATACAGCAGTTGCCTAGCATATGCAAGAGACTGGGTTTAATTCCCCAGAACAACCCCTCCATAAAAGGCTCAATAAATGTTTCAAAGTTAACTCTCCCTGGCCTCATCCTTCCTTTTCCTTATGTTCCAAATAAAAACATACCTTCAATGGCTCTTTTTGACTTGCACATATACAACCAGCATACAGTTTTATTTCACATTTTATTTTTATTTTTTGGTATTGGGAACTGAACCCAGAGCTTCTATTATAATCTCAGATTGCCCAGGCTGGGCTTGGACTTTTTTTTTTTTTTTTTTTTGTATTTTAGGGAAGGGTCTACAGGGTGTCCAGGGTCTCACTAATAGATCGGACTCATAGCGATCCATCTGTTTACAGCCTCCTAAAAGCTAGGATTACAGGCGTGTTCCAAGATTTAGCTGTTACAAATTGTGCTGCTATAAACACACAATATGATGGGGAAAAGGAGGGGAAAAAAAGAAAAAGAAAAAATTAAGCCCAGTCTCAATTACTGTCTCAGCATGCCCCAGGGGTGGGGCCGGCACAGCAGGCCCAGGGATCAAACCCCCTGGCCCCTGCACCTGCTCTGGCAGGCGCTTTACTCTGAACTATTTCGCTGGCCCTGGGCTTGGACTTTTGATCCTCCTGCCTCAGCCTCCCACAGTGCCATGATTATAGGCACACGCCACCACAGTGGGTTATAATCAATAGACAGCTAAATATGTTAAGTCTGGTGAAACCATATCACTTTACTTTCATCTTGTTAACTCTGTTAGATTAAATTATGAAAAAAGATAAGCACGTGAGGCTGGACAGGGAAATGAGTTTCAGGCAGATGCTGTGCAGTACTCTCCCCAGGCCACACTGGCCAGGCTTTCTGTCTGGTGACTCTCAACTGTAAGTATTCCTCATCTTCCACAGTGAAGAGAATCCTGCCCAGGCTATCAACAAAGCTGGCAGCACGACTGACTGTGGCTGTCTTTTCTACAACCTACCAGCAACACTGAGCTCTCTACTCGAGGCAAAAAGGCTAGAAAGGTTAAGAGACATTTGTTCTCCGTCATGTGGTAGCGCACCCCTGAATTCCCAGCACTTTGGGTGGATGAGACAGAAAAATTACAAGTTTGAGCCCAGCCGGGCAATTCAGTGACTTGGATGACCCACTCAAAAACAAAACAAAACTGCTCAGTGGTAGAGAGCATCTGAATTTAGTCCCCATTACCAAAGACAGAACAAAACAGAAAAACAGAGCACGTTAGCTGTAAATGTGGTCCCTGCAAGGAAAATGACTCCTGCATTTCTTTGCTCCGTAACATCAAGACAGTCCAGCTGGGGGTTTCCAGTTTCCCACAAGATCCATCTAGCAGCCTGCCAAGAGCCACACCCAAGCAGGCTGGGACACTCACCAGGAGGCTGCCTTGGTCTCCGGCGAGGTGGGGGAGGCCATTTACTCTCCAGCAGGCCTCATCCTCTTCCTTTGGGTTCCCTTTCCCAGTCTCACTTCTTGTTTCCAACCATGTCCCCAAAAAAGCAGATCCAGGTGTGAGACGATTAGGAGTCCTCTGTCACAACTTGCTTAGTTTTTAGTCAGCAGGAGAGCGCTACTCCCTTCCTGTGCAGACCTCTCAGGTCCGCAAATGTCTCTGTGGCTCCTAGAACTGTGGCAGGGAACATAAGAAAGCAAGAGACCTCTAGAAAAGCCAGATCCATCAGGCGGGTTCCTGGAGCAGCAGCTTGGCCATCTGCAGAACAACTTCCTCAAGGCCCGCTCCCAGACATTCCCACAGGCAGGCGCACGCTGGCTGGAGAAGAGTTCTCACTGATTTCTAACCCATCAAGTTCAAAGCCATCCTGAAGTTTCTTTCAAAAGTTCTGGTTTCCAGTTCCAACACCAGTGGCTGGGTTATGAAATAAACACAAGGAATGGATTATTTTCCGAAACCCATGAGAGAGCATGTGACCCAGGCAGGGTTGAATAAATGGTATATTTCAAAAGGGCTTTCTATACTGGCAAAAGTTATGCTTCAAAATTTAAAAAAAAAGAAGGGTAGTCAAGACTTCTGCACCAGGGCCTTAGTTTCCTGCACAACTGATCACAGGCATCACAGTGATAAAAATAGGTCATTAGTATGAAAAGGTACTAGATCACTCTAAGGTGGCTGCCATCGTAATGAGGGAACTCAAAGGAACTGTCACCTTGTCAGCCCAAAGGAAACCTGAGCACGCCAAATTTCACAGCTGAGCAAGTTTTCAAAGAGTAAAAAGAACACTTTGGGCAGGTAGCTTTTTTTTTTTTTTTTTGGAGACAAGGTCTCATTATGCAGTTTGGGCTGGCTTTGTGCTCACTTTTGCAGCCCCCCAGGCTGGCCTCAAACTTGAAGAGCTCCTCCTGGCTCAACCTCCCAAGTACTGGACTACAGGCATGTACCACCATGCCCAATTTCAGGGCCGCATGCTGGGCACCTGCATCCGGGCAAGATGGCACTGCATGTAAGGCTGGGGATCCAACTTGGGTCCTTGGGCTTGCCAGGTAGGTGCTTATGCCTCTGTGCTATCTCTCCAGCCCCAGCAAGTGGCTTTCAAACTCCTCCAAATTCAATGGGCATTTGGGTCATTTCCAAGATTTAGCTATTACAAACTGTGCTGCTATAAACACACCATATGGTGGGGGGAAAAGGGGAAGGAAAAAAGAAAAAAACACATTTATACACAAGATAGCTGAGAGAGCTATACAGCTAGTTTCTCTTAGTTCATGGATAAGCAAGGTTTGTGCGAATATTGCTTGGCCTAAATATCATGCCTGCATCTTGTACTCTATTAGAAGACAACAATACACACCATATTAATTAGTGTAACTCTCCTACTAACCTGTTCTAAAGCTGTTATTTGCATTTCTCTTTAAAATAACAAAACGTTTTAAAAGTTAAAAAACAACAACAAAAACCTTCCCCAAGAGACAACTTGGTGTGTTGTGCAGTTTCAGTCGGAAGGGGCCCCGCCTCACTTCCTCTGATCCTTGTCTAGCACAGTCCTACCAGAACTACCCTGCCAGCCACTGGCACGCACACACCCCTGAGACACGCTGGTCTCGGCACTAAGGTGAGATCCTCTTGGCCCTTTCTCACTGGGCTGGACGACACTACAGAATACACAGCGCAAGGGTCAGTCCTTCCACGTGATAGCCCTGTGAATCGCTTCCCAGGTTCACTCGTGAGGTCACTTTCTCAAAGCTCATGCCCACAGCGAACTTGTCTCAAAGCCCTGGCGCCACTCCGCCATCTGGTAACGCGGCTGAAGTCTCTTTGGTACAGCGGTCTCTAGATGCCTCGAGGGGCCCTCTCTCACAGGCCCATACCCGGGGCGTGCTACAGAGCACCTGGGGGCCTCCGGTGGCGAGATCGCTGTCCCGGAACCAAGGACAGCAGCCTCAAAGCCCCGTCCCTCCCTCCTAGAAGACTGGGTCCCCCACACTAGCAAGGTTCACTCGCTCTAGCCCAGGAGAGGCCAGCAGTGACCCTCGGTGTCAAAACATAACCAGAAAAGGCTCTGGCAGTCTGGGAAATGTCTCAGGACATCCCGAAGAGGAAAACAAGGCCGGGTGGCGCACGCCTGCAATCCCGGCACGCGGATCGCCACGAGCTTGGGTTCCCTAGCGGGTGCAGGGCTATCCAGAGCTACAGCCCCCCTTAAAAAAAAAAAAAGCCTGGTGGGGAGCGGCGGCAGCGGCGCAGGAAGGGTCGGTCACAGGGATTAGGAAGGGGCGCTAATGGGTGCAGACAGCACGAGGCTGCAAGGCCCAGTCCGCGAGGCTGCGGTAGCGGCCGGAAACGCTGGAGGCCTCCGGCCGCGGACAGGTCTCAGGCGGAGGTGAGAAGCGGGGAAAAGGGCAGAGTCAGCCCGCCCCGGCGCCCCTCGCCGGCCTCCACCCACCGCAGCCGCCAGGCACCCAGGCACTCGAGGTTCAGGGCTCCGGGCCCGCGCGGACAGGGACGCAGGAAACCGCTCAGAACCCACGACGCCCGCCCGCCGGATACCTGAGCGCACAGCACTCCGCGCAGGTCACGCGCCGCCCCGCCCCCCCGGGCCCGCCCCTAAAGGTCGCGGAGAGCCGGCGCTCGGTGATGACGCAAACGAGGCACCGCGCGGCGTGACGTCACGGAGCCATGGCGGCAGCTGCCGAGGCATCCCCGGAACTCTGGCAGTCGGCTGCGCCGCGGAGACGCTCTGCTACGCGGCGGTTACGGCGGAAGGAAAACGAGGCGAGAGGCCGTGAGACAGAGCTCGAGGCCGACACCAAAGTCGTGCTTCGTCGCCTCCAGGAGGCCGAGTGAGTGCGGGGTCCCGTCTTCTCGCTAATGGGCCGCTCTTCTAAGCCTCAGTCTCCCCATCTGTAAAATGGGATGTGCTAAAACCTTTTCCGGGAGATAATGAGCGTCTTGCAGACCGATGTGTCTGCATTTTCTAATTATGAGGCGGGGGTGAAGATGTCACCTATGGTGCTTTGAAGAACATTGATTTAGTAAATATAAACTATTTCCCAGCACATGATAAGAGGTGGACTAGGTTTTGCTATTAATACCATGTCCAATGTTAGCTCTTATATGTTTAGTGAGAGAAGGCAACAAACACCCGTGATTGTCACCATTATCGTCGTGCACTTATCGACCCGGCTGCCATGTGCCTACCTTAAGCATTCTGCACGCTTTGTCAGCGTTGAGCATCACGGCCACGCTAGCAGCCCGGCAGCCCAACGAGCCGTAGACAATAAGTGTGTGGAACCGGATTTCAAACCTAAGTCTGGGTGACTCCAAAACTTTTGCTTACATCTTGCCGCTCTTTGGACTCTTTGCCACCCAGGTGACCCCATACCTCGCCCCATCCCCTGGAAGGTACACAGACAATACCCAGACAGGAAGGACTTGGTAAATGTTCCTGACTGTCATTGAGGGTAATACTTTTTAGTGTCAGTCCTGCTAGGGCCCAAGGAATAACTGCAGTTAGCCCTACTTCAGATGAGCCTCAGGAGAACCAGCACAAGGGGGAAAGATTAGACTAATTTTATGGCCTCCTTTTTCCTAGACTTAGGATCAGGAGGTAGTGATGACAGAGGTTCCCTCTGAATAGGAAGAAATTGTTGAGCAGCCGGTTGGGGGTGGGGGGATCAGCAGCCATTCTTTGTAAGATGTGTGCAGGCCTGTGCGTGCTGAGACAGCATGGCTGAGAGTTCAGGGCCAGCCTCAGCAACTTAGCGAGACCCTGTGCCAAAATGAAAGTGAATACAAAGGTCTGAGGTATAGCTCAACCGTACAGTGCTTGCTATCACGCACAACGCCCTAGGTTCAATCCCCAGTACTGCAGACAAAACAAAAGCTTCGGATATAAATGAGAGTGCATGTGTCTGGGGATTTGGAGAACTCCTGAGGCTCTTTCCCTCAGGAAAGACATTGTGATTCTTTCCTCCGCTTCTGCAGCGCCCCCGGGAAGCTTCCTGTTTCTCCCATCACCCCTAAGTATGGTTTGGTTTCCATTCTGTGCCTCGCGCAGTTGAAGAACCAGGCACTCTGCTGATCTGTGCAGACCTACCAGCTTAGAAAGCACACTCCTGTACACTAGAGCTCTCCTCAGCCCTCCTTTGCCCCCAGTGGGCAGCCTTGAGAAAGACCGTTTTACCACCGATTCCTCTCTGGCTCCCTGTATTGTCCTGTTTCCTGTTGCTGGGACAAATTACCCAACACCCGCAACCTCATGGAGATGTTCATTATGGCTCATGGCATCAGTGACTTCAGTCCCTGGCTGAAAAGCAGAAACAGTGTGGCAGAAGGAGATGGTAGAGAAAGGCTGCTCACATCACGGCAGCCAGGGGAGGAGACCGCGCTAGTGCAGACCCTCCAGTCCAGGCCCTACTCCAGCAGCACAGTCAGCTGTGAAATCGGCAGTGGACTGACATCAGTGAGTGCAGCCCCCACCGCCGCTATCCCATCACCCTCCAGAAGCCCTGCTGATGAACATCCGACGTGGGGGAGGGGTGCAATTTTAGATCTAAACTTTAGCATATTTGACTTTGCTTAGCTCCTGGCTTGGGGAAAGCAGTTGATTGGCTAGGGAAAGGCTAGACGCTCCTCCGCCCTTTCACTTTTCCCTTAGGTTACTTTAGTAACACAGGCATTTTATTATAACCTCGTGTATGTGTGTAACACTGTCCTAAGAATGTGACCCTCTGTGGTAGATGTGATTCTCATCCCCATTCTAGAGATGAAGAGACTAAAGCCCAGCAAGGCCAAGGGGCCATAGCTCGGCCAGACTTGGTTGTGGGCCAGAATCCAGGGCCTCCACGAGGGAGCCGCCTCTCCTGTCCCCTCTGACCCCAGCTGTGCACACACTCACTCTGGACCTGCCAGTGTGCGCACCTCTTCACATGCAGAAAGAATGGGCTGTGGGTGGAGGGCACTGCGTCCTCCGGGCACTGCCTCAGGGTCAGGCAGAAAGGTCCGGCTGGGGTGGTGCTGAAGGGCTGAGAGATGACTGTGCCTTCTTCTCAGCAGGAACGATCTGCTAGTCTCTGCTTTCTGGAGCTCAGCGCTAGGTAAGTACCCCCAGGGAGGGCTGGGAGGTGGGAGGGGAGCCTCACTGTGGACAAAGAATGTCCCTTCCCAGAGCAGTGCTCTTGCTGGGTTTGAGTTCTGGCTTCTCCCTTAGGACTGTATGTCCTTGGGCACTTAACTCTAGCCAGCCCTCAGTTTCTTTACCTGAGAAACGAGATGGCCATGTACATACCCAGGAATATAGTTTTGAGAATTAAATGAGATTATGTAGGTGCCTGCTTAGCACAGTGCTTGCTTACTACAGAGAAGACGATAGACATTAGCTGTCTCTGTCATCGTTGCAGAATTTGTGGCATCCTATGCTTTTTTCTCTTGACATGACTGTGTACTTTTTCCCAGAGAGTTATAATCTCTTTGTAAATGTCATGTATAGCGACATAAAATTTATGTGTGGAGTGAGTGTACCACAGTTATCCTTTCTATTCAAGGCAAGTATTTTTCTTTTGTGTTAGTTATTCCATACAACTTTACAATGAGCAACTTTTTTTTTGTATTTAGTACAGGATCTATAGGGTCTCACTGTCGATTGGACTCATGGTGATCTGCCTATCACGCCGGGGATCGAACACCAGCCCCTGCACTGTGCCTAAGCAGGCGCTTTAATCCACGGAGCTATCTGGCCAGCCCAATGAGCAACTTTATATATAAAGCTTTTACCAAGTTTAGTATGATTCAGTAGGATAACATATGCACAGAAGTAGGGTTGTTTAGTAAAGGATAACCAACTCGATTTGCATTGTTAAGCTCTTCTCAGGAAAGCTTTTGCCAATTCTTTTATCAACAAGGACCTAAAGAGCCAGTTTTTCAAATAATCTTTCCTGTCTTGATCTTCTACATAGTTTTCGATGAAAACCGTCCACAAATGAAGGCCACGTTTATTGAAACATCCTCTCTGGGTTTGGGCCCTAGGAACCGAGTGCCTGGGTCAGCCTCTCAGATGGTGATGGAAGTGGCTGCAGGAGTTGAAGGAGTTGAAGCCCTTACGGCCCTGCTCCCCTCCCCAGGCCTTCATGCTGGATAGGCTCTTGGGCAAACCGTGCCCTCTGACTGCCTTTGGGGACTGCTGTTTCAGAAACTGTCAGCCGATGCCTTACAGAGCAGCTGGCACAGCAGAAGCCTCCCGTGCGGACGCCGTTGGAAGCCTTTGGAGACCTGCACCTTGACTCACCACTAAGTGAGTCCGATGTGGCTCAGGCCTCCAGGCCAGGAGAAACCCTGGACACGGGAGCCTGCTGTGTGAAATGCGTGTGTTATGGCATTGGGAACTTCGCCACCTGCATCACAGCGAGAGTCCAGCTAGCATTTCTGCTGCTCTTCCTGGACAAGTGCCAGGTACGTTCTGGCCCCACCTACATCTCCCCTCCCCTGGTCTTGCACATAGCGAGCATGTGGATGATTGCAGTGAAATGACTCGTTCTTCCCCTCTAGACTCCTAGAAGTCACTGTTGGGTCTATGACCCTTTGTTCAGCCCACTGGAAATTGCGGTCCTTAACACCCTTGGCGTGACGGTTCTCAGTGAGAATGAGGTAAGGAACTTAGGGGAACCATGGGGCACACTGTGTAGATCTTCACCAGACCAACACGGGCTCTGCCTATGGGCATGTTTCTTTCATTCCTCTCTGCTCTCTTGCTTTCCTAGTGTCTGTAAACTTTGACTAGTCGGTCATCTTCATTTTGGTTCATGCTGTGCCCATCAGAAAAACTTAAAATTATACAAATAGTATGAACTTGAACATGTAAATTGGCAGAATTCCTGCAAGGGTTCTTTGTCCAGGAATGATGCTAATTGGCATTTGCTGCTGCTATTTGAAAACCGAGGGGCCGGGGAGATGGCTCAGTGGATAAGTGCTTCCCTAGCAAGTGCAAGGGTCTGAGTTCAATCCCCGGTTCCACAAAAAAAAAAAAAAAAAAAAAGCATATTAAATTACTAACAATTGAATGTCCATTTTGTATCTGTGTATTCAAAGAGGTTGGGATAGATATATAGTTGCATTCTCTTAATGAATAGAATGATTTGTTCTAATGGTGTTCGTAAATAGGATCACAAGTTCGCATCTTGTACAGCAATTAACCACTAAGAATATATGCAGTGTATTATTTGTTGAAACTGTACTTCCGATTTGATTTGAAACTGTCTCATTGCTATCTGTTTATCAATAAAACTTTGAAAAAAAAAAGAAAACCGAGAAGGCACAAGGTCTGGGTGCCATGACCCAAGCTTGTGGCTGGAACGTGCCTGTCTGGGGGCAGCAGTAAAGGGTCGGGGCCTCTTCTCTGCGTTCTGTGATCCTGAGCCCAGTCCCACCAGCACCTGGCTGTGAACTGCAAATGCACTGCCTTCCCTCCACCCATGAAGAGCTGAGGTTTGACATTTCCTTTGAAAAAACTCATTTTCTAGGCACAGGGCTGACACCAGTATGAGCAGACACCTCTGAATATAGTTTTCAGAGGTAGACCGGGCCTGTGTTCTTGACAGGGAGTATGGTGAAGAGCAGTGAGTCCCAGAAAAGAGACCTCATGTCTTCTCAGGGACATCGGAAGGGCCTCAGATATGATGGGAATCTGAAAGTGACACAGGAAGCATGGAGGATTCCTGAACACAGTACATGGCGACAGTGACGATTGCCATCCATCCTGGCCTGTCACAGACCTTCGTTAGTCCAGAGCTCTCTGTGTTCATGTGGCCGGTTTGTTACACTGAGTAAATTCTTTCTGGATGTCACAATTTCCTGACTTTATCCCGTGTGGCCTTCACCATGGATATTCCAGTCATGCTTAGTCATCACTTGCTGTTCCACTCCTCTTGGCCAGTCACCCACATTTCTGTATGATTTGTGGGCACTACTCTGTCCCTTCCACTCCCCAGGAAGGCAAGCGGAGCGTCTGTGGGGAGCTCACTATCTTCTACATGCTGCACTGCGGGACAGCCTTGTACAACAACCTTCTGTGGAGCAACTGGTCAGCAGATGCCCTGTCCAAGGTGGTCATCGTCGGGAACAGTTTCAAAGGCCTTGAGGAGAGGTGAGCCTCCAGATGCTGGGATTCAGTCAGGCCCGGACGTGAAGCCCATGCCACGTTTTCTGACCCACAAACAGATTTCCATGACCGTTCTGGACATGGAGATGGTGTTCTGTAAGGACTTGAACCAACAGTTAAAAATGGATATCAGACCCTTAGTCAGACTGTGAAGCAAGTGAAGGAGCCTTCACAAATATTTTTGAAAAGTGGTTCGATTCCTCTGCCCATAGGTCCAAGCACCCCTTCTGTTGCACGGTGTTCAGGTGTCTGTTCGTAGCATCTCTCTGCTGGTAACAGGAATACAGATGCTAGGTATTCACGTGTTCTCCTAGCTGATCATGTGCTCTGCATCCCTCTTTAAGTCATTCTGCTTTTTTGTGTTTAAGCTAAATGAAAGCATTCACACTTTTTACTTTTGCTTTTACCTTCTAGGTTGTTAGCAAGAATTCTGCAGAAAAATTATCCCTACATTGCAAAGGTATTTTCCTGAGGGAGGGAGGTATGGAGGGAGGGAGGCAGTGAGTCATGCCATTTCTCCTGCACCATGAGGAAGTGTGCTTGTGTATGTAGTAGAGGGCACTGGAGGCCAGTGACAGAGGCAGTAGTGCTGTCAGAGAGCATGCTCATGGATTTTTTTTTTTTTTTTAAATGTATGTTGTACAGGGTCTCTACGCAGCTCAGACTCATAGTCTCAAGTTTCAGCCTCCCCAGCCCTGGGATTACAGGTGTGTGCCGCCATGCCCAGTGTCAGTGGCTGGCTCAGTGCACCTGGGGTAGGGCCAGTGCTGCTTGTGCCAGGGATCAAACCCCAGTCCCTGTGCTTGCCTAAGCAGGCACTTAGTCCACTGAGCTATCTTGCCAGCCCCTTCTATGGATCTTTGCTCCAGAAAGCTTGAGCATTTTCGTGCATCTTAGTTTTGTTCCTAATTTCTTCTAAATTCTCAGTATCATAGTCAACATATCCACTGCCTTGAGGACTTCCAACTCACTACATGAACATATTTAAGTAAAAAATACTCGTGTTTTCCCAAAAGGACAATAGGGTGGTAAGTTAAGTGAAAATTTAAGCTAGAAGTGTGAGGGTTACTGTGACCAAGTAGTCTTTAAATTTGGATTTTCCTCCCCAGATTTTGGACGGACTGGAGGAGGTGGAGTTTCCTCAGACTCCAGAGTACACGGACACATTTAACGACACCTCTGTCCACTGGTTCCCCACACAAAAGCTGGAGCAGCTCCCCAGGGATCTGTGGACATTTCGAGAAGAGCCTGATTACCAGGGCTGTGAGGACCTTGAGATCATCAGGAGGACAGATCCCCTGACCGTGAACCCACCATGAGACACTCAGCACAGCCTTGTGTGGAAGCTGCCGCAGCTGGACAGAAAGGCTGCTGCCGGGGGATGCGGGGGAGCCCTTGGCAGGGGGCCAGATGCCAGAGATGAGAAGTGGGGAGACAGCAGGTCCTAGGACAACATGCTGTGTTAAGGACTCTATAATATAAAGATGGACAGACTTCTAAAATAGCATTTTTACACCCTCCCTGCTGGCATGGTCTAGTGTAGAGTATCTCCCCATGACTGTGTGACAGTGGGGGTGGTTCCAAAGGCCTACGCATGTTGCGCAAGTGCTCTGCCACCTGAGGAGGGGCGCCTGGGAGGTGACTGGGTCACAGGGCACTGTGCTTTAGGACTGCCCACAGATGTGAGCTGAGTGGGGCCAGCTGCTAGGGCCTTGCCCCTAGGGACGATCTCTTGAAGGCCTGAGCACGTCTGCTCCACTACGCCCTCTGCTGTGTTTCTCTCCTGCCACCAGCAATGCACAGGCTTGTGAGACTTCTGGCCAATTAAAGCTGTCCTCCTCCTAAGTGCTGGTGTTAGATGTTAGGTCCCAGCAACAGAAATGTAGAGCTAGACAAGCCCTAGACCACATCCCTAGTGCTCGAGCCTCAGTAGAGAAGTGAGGTTTGCAAAGATGATTTAAAAGTATTTATTCATATTCATCCTTGTCGCGAACAAGTCCACAGCCTGCTACAGGCCTGCCACAGCTACTTGGCCATGTCAATCAGGCTCTGGAGGGAGGTGGGCACCCAGGTCTTCTCGCCCTGCACAAACACCACCCCCCGGTCAATGTAGATCACGATGCGGCCGAAGGTGTACAACTGCTTCCCCTCATGCCGCTTGCCAATGACCGGCATGAAAACAATGTTGTGCTCCTCGGCCTTGGTCTCAATGAGGTCCTTAAAGTTCATGGGCACTGAGCTGGCAGCCGCACCAATGCCCCTCTGGGCCATGTTCTCAGCTTCCCGTCGCTCCTGCATGGCCTCATACTGGAAGTCCTTCCTCCGCTCTGTGTGGGTGAGGTAGGCAATGTTCTCCCGCGCCCCTGGCTGCATGTAGGCACCTGAGAGACGGGAGGGAGGGCAGTGAGAGGCGGCAGCCCACAATACTAGAACCAACACCAGGATGCGGGCCAGGTCTGTACCTGTGACTGATAGGGCAGCTGTGCCCCAAAGACAAGGGGCTAACAGTCAAAGCACCTTTGGGGAGATGACAGCACTGGATTACACAAAGATTAAGTCTGGCAACCACAGACCAACAGGTAAGCAGCAGACCCAAGGCAGCTGCAGGTGCCAAAGAACAGGAGCCCCACAGCACTGCAGGCAGGGAGGTGGGCCCTGAGCTGGGTTCACACCTTGGGAGTCCAGTCCCAGTCAGTGTCCACTCGGGGACAAACAGACCAGGCCAGTGGGTATGAGGTCACAGGTACGGAAACCCAGGGCCAGCATTCGGTGGAAGACAGAAGAGTGAGCACCACTGGGACAGCCAGAGGGGATCAGAACACAGATGGTCTTTTGTTTAGAACCAAGGACGCTGGCTAGGACATGGTAGGCGGGACTCCCTACTCACCAACGTTGGAGGACACCGCCCTGTTCATGATGTCAAGGGCTTCATTAAATTTGTCCTTAACAGATGGGTGTGCCAGCACCTGGTCAGAAAACATGGACTTCCACCCCAGGTACCACTTGGTGATCTCTTCATAATTTGGGCTGTTACTGAGCCAGGAGCACAGCACCTGCCAAGAATAGATGGGACACTTACATCACCAGAGCCAACCAATAGAACAATCCCCAAGGCTGGTCCTATATGCAGGTGACAACACTTTGCAGGGCTTGGAGGAACTCTCAAAGAGTCTGGCAGCTAAGTGTCCCTGCTGAGAGACCACTGTCCCCACTTCAAGCAGCTGTCTGAAGTGCTGTTACGAACACAGCACTTAGAACAGCAGCTGGAACATAGCACATCCAGCCAACAGGCCACTCAGGACTCGCTCCTTCCCACCTCATGCAGGAATTCCTTCCCTCATGCAGCCAGGCTTCATAGGAAATGCAGTGACGGCCCCATCTGCCACCCTGTCCCCAAAGCCAAGCAGAGCAAAGCGCACCTGGAGCCACTTGGGAAAGAAGTGCTTCTCAAGGAGTCCCACGAGACTGGAGACGGAGATCATCCCTTCCCAGTCGATCACCCAGTAGAAGGCGTCCATGTGCTGCTGGTGGGGGTTAATGACCAACTCCCCAAGACACATTCCTGCAAGAGAAGCCATCCGTAGGCTTGACTTCTGTCCTGGCAAAGTAAATGGCAATTACTGCCAGAGAGCAGCTTTGACCTGCTCTTAAGAGGTCAATTTTAAGTTGTTGACATAGCAATTCTTAAAAAGCGTTTTTTCTCCTACCCTGACATAACTTCCTAAGAATGAAATGACAAAAAGGTTTCAGATAGACAATGGCTATCCTGTCAACAGAAGCCAAGATAGGGCCACCTGGGCAAGCAAAGGCAACATGAGCCTGACCCTCACTGCAGACTTTCAGGTACTGCCACAGCCAAACAGTAAAAAGGGCACTGACTACATTTACAGGTGGCCTCTGCCCAAAATGGCACCTACGAAGCATTTCTGTGAAGTCAAAGGCCGTGCTTTAGTTTACCTCATTACCACTGGCTGCAGACCAGGACACCAAGAATGAACAGTAGTTTTGCAATGTGTGACCCACTTCCTTACCCAGCTTGGGCACAATGTTTTTGACCATGAAAGCCTCCCAGGAGCCAGGGGTGAAGACGTCTTTCCAGGGCTGGAGGATGAGCTTGGCCGAGGAGTCGCTGGGGTGCCACTTCTGCAGGGCACTGGACAGCTTGCTGCGGATGGGGGAGTAGAGCGGCTCCAGGCGTGCCCGCATGAGGGGCAGCCATGGGTGGATCCAGGAGTGGATGGGGACAGTGTCTGTCAGCGGGTTCCAGCTGTCCACCTGCATGGCAGCGGGCAGGGAAACACAGCCCATCTTGTCAAGTTATGGGCAAGGGCTGCCTGTGAGCAGGCCCACATATGACTAAAGGCCATGGTGCCCTGCCTGTGTGTGGAGCACACGGCCACTTTATAGAGGGAAACAGGCACAAAGAGGAAGCTTCGCTGCACTGTAGGCACTGTGCACTTATTTCTCCCAAGCAGAGACACTCAATCTCAGAGATGCACAATTATGATTTCATTGATGCTACCAAAAGAATGAATTCCTTCTTCGAGGAGGAGTAGGGGAAAGGCTCTGGCTCTCTTTAGGGTAAGAGTTGTATTGACAAATTCCTATAATTCCAGAAATTCTAAAAATGAGATCATAAGGGAGAAAATGCTAAGCCAGTTCCCCAAGTGCCAGGGCAGCTGATTCCCTCACTCCACCTTACCTCCTTCTGTAGCTTGGGGAAGATGAGCTGGTCCAGTATGTTATCTAAGATCCACACAGGGATAATGTGCACCCAGCTATCCAGAAAGTCTACCATCGGGTCACAGTTTCTCGGCTGCCACTGGGTGACAATATTTCGAACAAAAGGCATCCAGACCTCCCATATCAGCCTGTAGAGAAAGGCAGAGGGCAGGTTAGTAGCTGTTCTGGTTGGTTTGAAAGCCCACTAAGCACACCACCATCTCCATCTCTACAAACAGAAATCCACCAAGCCAGGCCTCACATTAACTGGATAAATGTCAGTCTGCTGCCACCTCCTCCTCCTGTGGCTGTCTGTTAGCCCCTGGGGCTCAGTCTTCAGGATCACATGGGCTCCAGCCCCTAGCAAAGGGACACATCCCAGGCACCAGGAGCTTTCCCCTGACACCTCTCATGCTCTGGGGACACAGGCTGAGTCCCTCCTCTGAGAGGCCGCTGCTCCCATCCTACCCCTTGTTATTTGCCAAGGGCAAATCCACTGTGCCCACTGTTTCCTGCACTGTTGGTTCATTCCCTCCATGCCACCGGCCATGTCCACAGCACCAAGAACTCCAGGACAGTATTCCTAGGCTACAACCACCACTGAGCACTCAGGCCACACTCAACAAGTTCAGGCTGAGGGGAGAAATGAAGGACTCTACATTCCCAGGGTGCCAGGGTGGAGCAGAGGGCTCATAAAGCCAAGCTGTCCCCAGCCTTTGCATCCTCCCACCCTACCCTGCCAGCCCCAGCAGACAGCCGAGCTTGCCCTGAGGACCTGTGAAAGGCATCTGCTGAGAGGTCCTGGCCGCCATGGGATAAGAGCTGGTCATTCTCCAGGAGGCTCTTCCACTTGGAGACGATCTCAGTGCCATAGGCACAGTCCTGCAGAGAGAAACCCTACAAGTCAGCCAGCCCTCTGCCCTCTGCACAGCCATCAAGCAATGACACACTCCAGGTCAGGCAGGCAGGCAGATTCCCCCACAGCTCACTTTGAGGGGGTCCCACTCCTTGAAGTAGTCTTTCATGAGTGGATAGACAATGGCCACTGCAAGGTCCATGCGGTCCGACATCCGATACTCCTCATAGTACTTATCCTGCAGGGTTTCAAAGACTCGCGCACACTCATCCAGAGTGAGTGGGTCATCACAGCTGGGCTGCATGCGCCGCTCACACTCCTCCACCATCTCCAGCACCTTGCTAAGGTTGGAGATGACCCGCTCCTCGTGGTCCAGGACCTCAGACATCTTCTCCAGCTCATGCGAAAGGTTGACCACCATGTCCCGCTCGTACTGCAGCTGCCGGTCATTCTGGATGATCTCCTGCTCTGTGAGGTCAATAAGCAGCTGTAGATTGTGCTCCAACTCAGGCAGAGCGAAGCCCGGGACCTTGGCCTCTTTGCCAGGCAGGGGCGGTAGCTGAGACTGCAGAGGCAGCCCGTCATCTGGCATGTTGTGCTTGTGGCTGATCTGGCTGTAGCTGTAGTAGACCTTCTGCTCGCGGCCTGTCATGTCTATGACCTTGGAGAAGGAGGCAGAAGGGGAGCAGATTAACGCTCACCACTGCTGCCTGCTAAACACTAAAGGCCAGGGCAGACGGCCTAAAGCCAGCAGAGCGTGAGAGCCAAGCTACTCAATAGCGCTGGAAAAAAGCAGAGTCTTGACTGCACGGTACTGGTTCAGAGGAGCTGCAGGACCGTTACAGGTGTGGAGAACCGTTCCAGGCTGACCCTTTGGGCTGCTCACACCAAAAGCAAGTGTCAGGAAAACCAAGGAATCTTCAATAGAGACTGAACATTAGTGAGGAAAATGCATTTTCATGGAAAAGATTATACTGCTCAAAGCAGGTAATAAAACTATGTACAATCAAACTCTGGTGTTTTGGTAAAAACCACATACATATGCATACAAGCACAGAAAAAGACCTACAAGGAAGTACATTAAGCTGTTAAAATCTAGTAATCTTTGGGATGATGCCAATTATTTTTATACTTTTGAATTTCCCAATTTTTAAAAATACTCTAAATGTGACTCTTTTAATAAAAACTAAACAGTAAAAAGAAAATTCAGGGCCAGGGAGATGGCTCAGTGGAATAAGCACTTCCCTGGCAAGCACAGGGCCTGAGTTCAATCCTTGGTTCTGCCAAAAAAAA